AAGTGGCCACTTTTTATTTTGTATTGAAGAATAATTGATACCTTATTTTCTGTCACTTACTATTGCCATCACCCCCAGGAATATTCAGTATTTTAGAGTAACTGAGTAGAACTTACATGAGAAGTAAGTGAGAATCTCTTGATTTCAAAACTGGCAAAATATTTAGGTTTCTTTGGTCTGGAACTCGTGGTTGTCTTTATTCCTGGTTAAAGGCTTGAGAAAATAACTTGGCTTTAATGCTTCCATTAATGTTTTATATTAAACTATTTGTTTTAAAATAGCCCTTATATGCAAACAAGTTTCTTCTGTTGGTTTGTACTAACCGGTTAGTTGATTAGTACTCACTGATAGACGTGACAAGGTCTCTGGTCCTTAAAGGAGCGTTGTTCGGTGAAGACAGACCCGGAAGTACAAGCTATCCAGGGCAGGGCTGTGGCGCTGATAAACGCCTACCCAGGAACCGGGGAACAGAACAGGAGGACGGGCAGCTCGTCCCAGAAGGGCCAGGTGTCCTGATCCGGGTATTTCCTGTGTTGGTGGCGGGGCAGGGTGTGCAGGGGGCTGTGAGCGAGCACGAGGTCTGTGAAGGCCTCACGGCAGGTGCAGGTGAGTGGATAGAAAGGGGGAGAGAGGCCTTCTGGGAGAAGGGCCAAGGAGCCTTTTATTCTAGCCCAAGTGACCTGGGCGCGAGTCCACGCGGCCGGGGTGGAGGCAGCGATGCGTGGCACATGGTCATGTGGAGAGTTACCACAGCCGTCTGGGAAGAGCCGATCAGGAGAGAAGTAGGATTATTTCTGTGAACAGCTGTCATCTTTTAGAGCAGTGTTGAGTGTGGCAAAGGATCCTGGGAGTCTTAGGATACCTGATTTTTTTTTTCTTTTCCTGATTTTTTTAATGTTAGCCACCATACAGTACATCATTAGTTCTTGATGCAGTGTCCCAAGATTCATTGTTGGCATATAACCCCCAGTGCTCCATGCAGTCCATGCCCTCCTCAATACCCATCACCAGGCTCACCCAAACCCCCACCATCTCCCTTCTAAAACCCTCAGTTTGTTTCTCAGAGTTCACAGTCTCTCATGGTTCATCTCCCCCTCTGATTTCCCTCCCTTCATTTTTCCCTTCCTTCTCCTAATGTCCTCTATGCCATTCCTTATGTTCCATAAGTAAGTGAAACCATATAATTGACTTTCTCTGATTTCACTCAGCATAATTCCCTCCAGTCCCATACAGGTTGATGCAAAAGTTGGGTATTTATCTTTTCTGATGGCTGAGTAATACTCCATTGTATATATGGACCACATCTTCTTTATCCATTCATCTGTTGAAGGACATCTCAGCTCTTTCCACAGTTTGGCTGTTGTGGACACTGTTGCTCTGAACACTGAGGTACAGATGGCCCTTCTTTTCACTACATCTGTATCTTTGGGGTAAATACCCAGTAGTGCAATTGCAGGGTCATAGGGTAGCTCTCTTTTTAATTTTTGGAGGAACCTCCACACTTTTCCAAAGTAGCTGCACCAACTTGTATTCCCACCAATGGTTTAAGAGGGTTCTCTTTTCTCCACATCCTCTCCCAACACACGTTGTTTACTATCTTGTTGATTTTGGGCATTCTGACTGGTGTCAGGTGGTATCTCAATGTGGTTTTGACTTGAATCTCCCTGATGGCTAATGATGATGAACGTTTTTTCATGTGTGTGTTAGCCATTCGTACGCTTTCTTTGGAGAAGTGTCTGTTCATGTCTTCCCAGTTTTTGACATGATTACCGGTTTTTTGAGTTTTGAGTTTGAGGAGTTCTTTATAGATCCTGGATATCAGCCCTTTATCTATAGTGTCATTTGCAAAATTATCTTCTCCCATTCCATGGGTTGTCTCTTTGTTTTGTTAACTGTTTCCTTTGCTGTACAGAAACTTTTGATCTTGATGAAGTCCCAAAAGTTCATTTTTGCTTTTGTTTCCTTTGCCTTTGGAGACCTGTCTTGAAAGAAGTTGCTGTGGCCGATGTCGAAGAGGTTACTGCCCGTGTTCTCCTCTAGGGTTCTGATGGATTCCCGTCTCACACTGAGGTCTTTCATCCATTTAGAGTTTATGGTCCAGTTTCATTCTTCTACACATAGCTGTCCAGTTCTCCCAGCACCATTTACTGAAGAGACTGTCTTTTTCCATTGGATATTTTGTCCTGCTTTGTTGAAGATGAATTGACCGTAGAGTTGTGGGTCCATATCTGGGCTCTCTACTCTGTTCCACTGGCCTGTGTGTCTGTTTTTGTGTCAGTACCGTGCTGTCTTGGTGATGACAGCTTTGTAGTAAATAAAGCTTGAAATCAGGCAACGTGATGCTCCCAGCTTTTTTCTTTTTCAACATTTCTTTGGTGAGTCAGGGTTTTTTCTGGTTCCATACAAATTTTAGGACTATTCCAGCACTTTGAAAAATGCTGATAGTATTTTGATCGGGATGGCACTGAAAGTATAGAGTGCTCTGGGCAGCATAGACGTTTTACCAATGTTTATTCTTCTGATCCATGAGCATGGAATGTTCTTCCATCTTTTTGTGTCTTCTTCAGTTTCCTTCATGAGTGTTCTGTAGTTCCTCGAATACAGACCCTTTACCTCTTTGGTTAGGTTTATTCCCAGGTGTCTTATGGTTTTCGGTGCTATTGTAAATGGAATCCACTCTCTAATTTCCCTTTGTACAGTTTCACTGTTAGTGTATAAAAAAGCAACTGATTTCCGTGCATTGATTCTGTAGCCTGCCACATTACCGAATTGCTGTATGAGCTCTAGTACTTTGGGGTGGAGTCTTTTGGGTTTTCTGCATCAAGTATCATCGGTCCATGTTCCTGACTCTACTTTCAACTGAATGACTCTGCTGCAGTCCGCCAAAGACAAGCCAGGACTGTGAACAGGTTATTAAGGAGGCGAGAATCCTGGGTGTGGGCACTGGAGGTTTGCCCCACATCCTTCCGCTGTCTCCTTGACCCCTGCGGTCATCAGGCGTCCTGTGTGGACCAGCAGCTTTTGCCCAAGCAGCCCGACATTTGCTCAAGCAGTGGAAACACTGCCTCGCTTGTAAGGCAGGTGCTTGGGAAGTATTGCGTCATATTTTCATACAAACTGAAAACCGCAGAGTCAAGCGGCCTAAGGCTGGTTTGCCTTCAGAAAACCCTTGAACTGCTGCCTACTGAGCATTACCTCGCCCTTTCTGCTACGCCGGAAGCCAGGGACCACTTTTTGCCAAGTTCTGGCTGTTTCATGTACAGAAGATTCCTTCACCTTTGCTGTAAGCAACTTTACCAAAACCAGGAGAAATAAAACCTTGTTTTTTCAGGTGGTGTTAAATCTCCAGATTGGGGGATGGTTGAAGGGAAGAGAGGCAGAAGGAAGCCAATTCTCAAACACTGGCATAAGGGACAGGACTATCAATAAAGCACACATTTACTACCAGCCCTGTCAGGACACATTCGTCATGGTCGCTTCAACCTTCATTAACTGTAGAATCCAGTGTTTATGCCAAAATCTCTAACAGCCACATGCAAAATGCTAACGCTGGCACATGCTTGAGCCAACTTACCTTTCCAGGGCTTTCTTTTACGAGGTCTTCAGCTAATCTACACCCTGGCCAAACTGGGTGTCTTATTTCTGGGGCACAGCTCATATTTCTCCTGCTGAGGCCTTTCCTTGGGTTGCTGTCTCCATTTGTCTGAAATCTCAGAGCTCCAGGCCCATCAGAGCACCACTCCTACATTTCCTCCTAAATAGTAACTCACTCTTTTACATCATTTTAACACCACCGCTTGAAACTCTTTTGGCACAGAATCCTAATACTCTGTAACTCTCCAGTCCCTCCCCATGCATGTAGCACGCCAGCTGGTAAGCAACTTACAGTGGTGAGAACATGCTGTATCTTGTAGAGGAGAGGCACAGGGGAGTCATACTACCATTTGTTGGCCATGATTTTGTTGGTTGTGTGCTCTTTCTTGCATGGTCTTTATGATTCTTGTGATTCTAGTGAAGCCCTTTCTCCAGTACCCAGGCTGTCCTGTCCATTATAGGGTATGCAAGGGGCACTTCCTCAAACTGCTTATGGGGAAGAGTTGCTTTATTAGGATACCTGATTCTTAAATATCCTGACATTTTAGACCATTTCTTTTCATCTGGCTCAGAGAGGGTGCCTCCGTGCCCACTGTGTAGCAGCCTAGCCAGGCCCACGGAAGCGTGTTGGTGGTGGCTGCGTGGTGGGCGTCCACGGCTGTAGGTCCTGTTGGAGTTGACATTGTTTTCGCTGCTGAGCAGGATGTGATGGTGGCAGGCGGGATGGAGAGCATGTCCAACGTTCCCTACGTCATGAGCAGAGGAGCCACGCCGTACGGCGGTGTCAGGCTGGAAGACTTGATTGTGAAAGACGGGCTGACGGACGTCTACAATAAGATCCATATGGTAATGCTTGTTTTTGGAGAAATCCCAGCTAGTACACAGGACTGCTTGAGGTTTAAAGATACGCAGATTCAGAAACTGAAGGGTGGGCTCCATAAATGTTGATTTTAGCCATTCATTTCAGGAACACATCTCTTAGCTCCCCCCATCAGTTTGACTTGGGTGTTGAATCTGCTGGCCCACACTGGAATAGGGAGTGTTCGGACTTCTGATTATAGATTCTGTAGCTATTTAATTCTTTACCTTTGAAATAGAAATTCTGGACTCACTGAAGTATCTAAAGATGAGACCTGACTGAAAAATGACCTAGTACAGAAAGTGTATTTTAAGAAACAACGTTTAACGGCTAACCACTGTTTTATGTTATGCAAGTTAATAGATATTTAAGAATTCCATCTTTTATCAGGGGAACTGTGCTGAGAATACCGCGAAGAAGATGAACATTGCACGAGAGGAACAGGACACGTACGCGATTAATTCCTATACCAGGAGTAAAGCAGCGTGGGAAGCAGGAAAATTTGGAAATGAAGTTATCCCTGTCACAATTACAGTAAAAGGTAGAGGGATGATGTTCCAACATAGGTTTTTTATGCTAAAAAATTGCTATGCTAAAAAATTCTGTTTTAGATTAGTACATTTTTATCTTTGTTCACCTGAGGACATATACTTTTGCTTATGGTTAACAGAGGGAAATGCTGTCCAGTTACAATGTAACTCCACCCAATTTCATATCTACTTCCAGCTCAGCTACAAATACCACTAAGAATAATGTTCCCAATTTGAGAAATATATTTATATTTATTAGAAATTTTCTAGTATCGGTGACAGTTTATTAGCCTTTGAGGTGAGGAGGCAGGCTTTGGGGGGCACCTCCCAGGACTGAAGGCTGCACGTCAGCAGCTCTGGAAGCTGCATCTTTTTGTCCCGTCTCCATCTCCGGGTCCCATCTGAAGGCTCTCCGTCACCAAGCAGGGAGGTCTCCTCATCCGCTCCAGCAGGGACTCAGCATGAAGACTCATTAAACTGGTTTAGGTTCCATTTCCACGGAGAAATGATGAGGTTCAGGATGGTGGAATTACTAGGGCTTGTCCAGCCCTGGAGTCAGGAAAGTGGCTGGGATCTGTGATCTAAAAAGGGCGAGACAAGAGAATGGGATGGGGCCATCAAAGATTTAAAAGGTTAAACTACTTAATAAACTCTTCAAGTCCCTAACAGAGAGGGTAGGTGGTGGATTCTCGAGTAGGGTTGCCGTGAGATGGTGGAGGTGTGCAGGCCCGGTGTGGGGGGTACATTTGCTGTGTCTCACTGAGGGACTCATCCGGCTGATGAGACTTGTACTGCAGGTAAACCAGATGTCCTGGTGAAAGAAGACGAAGAATATAAACGGGTTGACTTTAGCAAAGTCCCAAAGCTGAAGACCGTTTTCCAGAAAGAAAATGGTTAGTATGAAGAAATGAACCATGGCAAAAAGTGGAGTTAATATACCATCTCTACTCTTGGAACTGCCTATGGATTTTAGTTAAGTAATTCTAGAAAACATTTAGATGTTATTTAGCATTTTCAGTATGTCAAGGCTCATGTGAAATTAACATGATATTTATGCAAAAAATATTAAAAATTTTGTTAATACCTTCAATATAGAAATCCTAGGGAAGAGACTACAGAATGAGTATAGAATTGTTTTTCATATTTAATTCATTTTGAAAGTTTATTCTGTAATGAAATGTGTTTATATATTAAGTACCTGTAAGGTTTTTGAAGATGAAGTTGGCAGCCGTGTCGTTCACGGGTTTTTCCTAATGCCTGACTTGTAGTAGGTCCTCAGTCAGTAACTGTCGAAATCTACCATAAACAGGATTCAAGTGTCTCAATTAATGCTTTTGAAATCCTTGAGGTGTGGTCCATGCTGCTTTTAAAAATGGGCAGATCTACTGGAGATTAGAGTCTAAAGATACTTTTTCTGCCTTTCCTGATTTGAATTTTTCCTTTTTTTTTTTTTTTAAAGATTTTTATTTAGTATTTATTTGACAGAGATCACAAGTAGGCAGAGAGAGAGGAAGGGAAGCAGGCTCCCTGCCAAGCAGAGAGCCCCTTGTGGGGCTCGATCCCAGGACCCCGGGATCATGACCTGAGCCGAAGGCAGAGGCTTAACCCCCTGAGCCACCCAGGCGCCCCCCTGATTTGAATTTTTTAATACCAACTACAGAGAGGGATCAGTCTTTTTTAAAGCACCATGTAAAATTTATGTTGCAAAAGTACATTTGTATATTTTTAGCTGCAATCTACTTATAGGGGCTTGGTCACAATTTTTATAAAAGCTTACCTGATAGAATTTACATTCTGTAAAATTTAAAACATCCAGTTCAGTTATTTTTAGTATTCTTGACATTTAACTTCAAGTGATTGTAGAAAAGGATGTGGTTTTTTAAAATTATTTCTAAAATTTTGTTTATTTATTTGACAGATCACAAGTAGGCAGAGAGACAGGCAGAGAGAGAGAGGAAGGGAAGCAGAGAGCCTGTTGTGGGGCTCGATCCCAGGACCCTGGGATCATGACCTGAGCCAAAGGCAGAGGCTTAACCCACTGAGCCACCAGGCGCCCTAAGATGTACATGGTTTTGACACAGTACCTGCTCTAACGTGGATAAGCAAAGTTAGACTCTGGGAAGAAAAAGCAACAGCTGGTCCTTACCTTGGCAGCCTTGTAAGCCCGCGCTGACCTCCTGCCGTCATGCCGGTGTTGCTGAGCGGGCTGTGAACAAAGGGCTAGAGAACCAGCCGGAAATAGCCAGGTGTGGGTCTCCTGAAAGCAGGCATCGTCTCCACACATACTGGTCGTTTCCACGCACCCAGCAGCCCCCGTGGTGCCCGCAGGAGTTCAGTCAGTTGAACCAAATGAACGTGGTGTGAATGGTTGTGGCCTCACGCTCACCACTGCTTCCAGGCACAGTCACAGCCGCCAACGCAAGCACGCTCAACGACGGCGCGGCTGCCCTGCTGCTCATGACTGCGGACGCGGCCCGGAGGCTCGACGTCAGGCCGCTGGCCAGAGTAGCAGGTAGCACGTGTTCCGAACCGCTCTCCTCCTGAGCCCCTTGAAGCTTCCTGAAATGGAGTTTCCGTGTTGGTTACACAGCGTTGAGGGCGGCTCCTTCTCTCTGTGGGTGGTTCGGTGTGACAGTCGCTCGTATTTTGAGTTAGAAGCTCCTTTATCATTCATTTTGTAGAAGAGTAAGCATCAGAGATCTCTCCTAGCCTGTCTGCTGAGTGGGGGTAGGAGGTACGTGGTCCTGGCACGCAGGGGAGCGGTAACCACCTAGAAGGAAAAGAATATGAAGTTAGGGCTTTAGAAATAAGAAGTTGAGACATTTTGGCATTTAACTATGTGGCTGGCACACCCTTCATCTCCTTAAACATTTTTAGCTGTAAAATCCACCTTGTGAGTAAGTTTAACAAATACCATTTTGTTACTTTATTGTTTTAGAAGATTTTATCTATTAGAGAAAGGAGGAGGAACAGGGACCAGCAGACTCCCTGTTGAGCACGGAACCCAGGCGGTCCCACTACCTTCGGATGGTGACCTGAGCCAAAACCAAGTCAGATGCCTTATGAACCCCCTGAGCCACTCAGGCATCCCCTTCGTTTTCAGCTGGGAGCGCGGTTTCCTAACCTCAGCACTTGCGACATTCTGCAACCAGTAATTCCTTTGCCGGAGGCTGCGCTGCTCGCTGGAGGACGCACGGTCGCCTCTGCCCCCCAGATGCTGCAGGAAGGGTCCTTCTACCCACTGCAGCACCTACATCATGTCTAGCTAATGCTAGTGTCCCTGGAGGCCAATTCCCCCAGCCCCCTGCTTCGGAAAATCCGCGGCCTAGATGATGGATCTAATTTTATAAAGCCAACAGTCTTAGAACAGGAACAGCTACATTTCCGTGTATGATTGGGGCTAGGAAGCTTGCAGTTCTGCACATGATACATGACCTATCACTTGTAAAAAACGATTTTTTTTTTTTTTTTTAAAGATTTTATTTATTTATTTGACAGATCACAAGCAGGCAGAGAGGCAGGCAGAGAGAGAGGAGGAAGCAGGCTCCCCTAGAGAGCAGAGAGCCCGATGCGGGGCTCGATCCCAGGACTCTGAGATCATGACCTGAGCCGAAGGCAGTGGCTTAACCCACTGAGCCACCCAGGCGCCCCGTAAAAAACGATTTTAATGACTTTTTTTCTTTTTTTTCTTAAAGCATTTGCTGATGCTGCTGTCGAACCCATTGATTTTCCAATTGCGCCCGCGTATGCTGTACCGAAGGTGAGAACCCAGTGTGGGGCCGTCATTACCGCATCGTGCTGGCTTCTGCCTGGAGCAGAGCTGCGGGGTTGGGGTTTTAATGTTACTTGTCTGCGGAAGATTGGTTTCAAATCTTTTTTTTTTTTTTTTTAATTTTATTTATTTGAGAGAGAAAGAGCATGAATGGAGGGAGGGGCTGAGGTAGAAGCAGACTCCCCCATTGAGTGGGAAGCCCGACACGGGCTCGATCCCAGGACCCTGAAATCACTACCTGAGCTGAAGTCAGATGCTTAACTGCCTGAGGCACCAAAAGGCCCCCAAATCTTCCAACTTCTGAAAACAGTCTGAGCAGCCCACAAACTAGAGCCTCAGTGAAACCGACGCAAAGTCTGGAATTATTTTTAGGTAGGGTGCTTACTCGCACCTGGCATGGTAGCCACAGAGTGGGAGGCTGGTGTGGCAAAGAAGAGTACTGAAGGTCCTGGGTCTAGAATTCAAAGCAAATAATGCAGTACTAGGAGAGTCTCCATTCCAAAAGGAAATTGCTGGGAGCTGGTCTTAGAGTAAAACTAAAAACAAAAAACCTATGTACTCCAAGCGGTCACTGTTGCTAAGGGAAGTTGCTACGGGGTCACAGGAAGAGACGGTGCTGAAGGAGCCCGGAAGATTCCAGCAAATACTCCCTTTTGGAAGGAGAGGGCCTCACCCTGGGAGGGGACTTCTGACAGCAACACCCAGAAAGAGCAGAAATCAGTGAGGACTATGGGAAGAAAGGATAAGAAACGATGAGGTGGCAGGGTTCAGAGAGGAAGAGAATAACAGCTTCAGAAAGTGAATGCATCGCACAGGACAGCAAGGGGGAGAAACGGGTCTGGATTCTGAAGGCGGAGCTCCAATTCTGACCCTGGCTTGACTGAAAGCCAGGGAAGGGACCACACGGTTTTGTCTCATGTTGTGGGAGCTGTACAGCCTGAAACACAGAGCCTGCTGCAGGGAGAGAGGAAGGGGGGGAAGAGTTCCCAGTTACTTTTATTAATTCTCACAACAATTTTTAAATAAAAGGAAAACTGGGTACCTGGGTGGCTCAGTAGCTTAAGCCTCTGCCTTTGGCTCAGGTCATGGTCTCAGGATCCTGGGATCGAGCCCGGCATTGGGGGGGGGGGGGGGTCTCTGCTTAGCAGGGAGCCTGCTCCCCCCCCCCCCCTCTCTGCCTACTTGTGGCCTCTCTGCAAAATAAATAAAAATCTTCAAAAAAAACAAAACAAACAGTAGAATTTTAGAACATTTTCCTGCATAGCTGACGAACTGCTCAGAATTAAAGACTTGAGATAATTTGCAGTGAGGATACAACAGCTAACAATGTCTGCACCCATATAACCCCACAGCAGCTTTTATACAGGAGAAACTAGGAGATGCAGAGAAAAACCACTGTACTAACAGCAGAAACTAATAGACCTCTCTCATTTGATAGATAAAGAATCTACAACTGATCAAAGTAGTAAAAAAGATTAAGTATAACCCCCAAATAGAGAACACATGTTCTTTTCAGGTATCCATAGACTATTCAAGAAAATCTAGTTCTTTCTATTGCTGCAAATAATAAATAATGCAAACAGAATTCTTTGCTCACAGTGCAGTGAGACATTAAAATCCGAAAATGAAAAGGCTCTTCTTCCTGAAAACTAAGAAACTCCATATTTAAATATCTCTTGCATCATGAGGAACTAGAAACCCAGATTGCAGAATTCCAGAAAAAAACAATGAAAATAAGTTTTGACTGTTAATCTTTCGTTATAAAAATTTTAGGTTCTTAAAGATGCAGGCCTGAAGAAAGAGGATATTACGATGTGGGAAGTGAATGAAGCCTTCAGTTTGGTTGTGCTGGCAAACATTAAAATGCTGGACCTCGATCCCCACAAAGTGAACATCGACGGAGGAGCAGTTTCTCTGGGACATCCCATCGGGTAGGTGAAGTCAGACAAGTCTCTGTCTAGGCTAATGGCTTCATAATGGCCTTGTAATTTTGTCTAAATCTTAACCGCTTCATGCTAATCCTGTTACTCCTGGTTGAACTGGTTTCCTTCCCATCTGTCCTTCGAAGGGTAAACACCATTTCTGATAGGATTTAACACTGAATACAGATCTGCCACATTTGTTGCCTGAGAACTAATAGTGTCTTTTTTTTTTTTTTTTAAGATTTTATTTATTTATTTGAGAGAGAGGCAGTGAGAGAGAGCATGAGCGAGGAGAAGGTCAGAGGGAGAAGCAGACTCCCCGTGGAGCTGGGCGCCCCATGCGGGACTCGATCCCGGGACTCCCGGATCATGACCTGAGCCGAAAGCAGTCGTTCAACCAACTGAGCCACCCAGGCGTCCCAAACTAATAGTGTCTTAAGATTAAAATCTATGCTTGGGCTTAAAAAAAAAAAAAAAAAGCTGTACTAGTTCTTGAAACATGTCTCCCACTTTAAGAAAAGGAGTTAAATTCTCTAACAGGCTTTTCAAACGAACTTGGAATGGGAACTGTTTTGATTAGGTATTCTTTATGAAAGAACACAAATGCTTTCTTCTTCCTAGGATGTCTGGAGCCAGGATTGTCGTTCATATGGTTCATGCCCTGAAGCAAGGGGAGTACGGTCTTGCCAGTATCTGTAATGGAGGAGGAGGGGCGTCTGCCCTGCTGATCCAGAAGTTTTAGGCAGCTCGTGTCTAAAACAACCCTAATGTGGCCAGAAAGGTCTGCTGTAATCAGTAGGACTCACTACCTGGGGTGGGGTTATGTACTCCCATCTGTTTCATTTTCTATTTTTTTCTAACATTTTTACAATATGATAAGATCAATCCTCAAACCTTTTGAAATTATAAATAAATGTTTTCTTCTGCTTTAAGTCTTTTGTAATCTTTAGTTCAAAGTAGTTGTGAGAAAGCTGTACTATCTGAGATACCAGTGTGCACTTATTCGTATCCTAGAAGTAGATGCTTCCGCTTTACAGAACAAATCATCATTTACATTCTGAGGCTGGTCAGAGGTCAGTGAACGTCACGTACAACTGACTGAGCTTTATCAGACTCCTGAAAGTGAGAACAGTGTTGCTGGAAACAGGATAGATCCATGTGCTCGGGTCTAGGGGGGGCAATTTCTCACAATATTAGCATGCAGGACTTGGGGGTAGCGGGTCAGAAAATCCTGGGGTTTGGCCTCTGGATTACTACAGCAGCAAAGTGCACCCACCTCAGCAGTGGTTCCGAGAAGGGAAGCTCCTTTCCCAGGTGAGATGCACAGCGGTGGGAGAGCAAAGGGTCAGAAAGGTTCATGTATACACAGTCTCTTGGCAGATGGTTCTTGGGAGTCCTTACCTGAGAAGGAACAAAAAGACAATGCAAGGAAAAAAATAGATTCAGAGGGATAACTTAAAAAGAATCACAGTAATCACAGCTAATACTTGTGGCTCATTATGTACTAAGTCCTTTGATCCTCACAAGAACTCAAGAAGGTAGGTACTGTCATTTCCTCTTATGTACAGAAAAGGACACTGAGGCACGGACTAGGGCAACTGTGAGGTCAGGAGCAGAGCTGGTCCAGTCCAAGCTCCTGTTGCAGCTGTGCTCCGTAAGCCTGAGCCCAC